TCTCCCTCTCACGCATTCCTTCATTTAGTTAGATGTGCTTCGTGCTGTCTTTGTGGCTATTTATCATCTCTGTGAAATAATCAAATAAGCCCAGACGTTTTAAACTCTGGCAGATTCTAGAGTTCCCTGTTAAAAATATCTTGGCAAGCTGCCCCAGAATTGCAACAAATAAGCGATCTTGCTTCAGACCTCTATTGCTTGCCTTGATGTTAATTGGTTAGGTCTTAGTAACTTATTTATGACGGTAACATTAGTGAGTAATTTTTCTTGGAGTGTATTTAGATATTTTAAGAATATGGGACAGCTTTCCTCAAAGCCTGTGTAGTAACAAGCCTACAAACTAGAAAAACAAATTGAATGGATTAAAAAGCATCATCTAATCATTTTTAAGAAAACACTTAATTGGAACGCTACCAGTTAAATGAGGGCAGATGCAGCTCTGACACCTTGTTTCATAACTGCCCCTTTGTTGCCGTCAGGATCAGATAAGCCATCTTTGTTCTGATCAGTTTATCGTGTAACAATCCCTCTTTATGATCACAGTTAATGTTCTCCTCTCTCCGAAGATGACAATAAACCTACGCTAAACCTTTCTTGCGATAGGATGCTCTCTAACTTGGTTTTTGGAAAGTGCGGAGTTCAGTTTAGCACAAAGTCACGTAACAATTAGATCATGCTCCCTTTCTCTGCATCAATATAATGTCCCTTCTCCTTCCCGAAAGAGGCCTGGTCCGGGTGAAATTACAGAGGTCACGCATCTGGCTAACATCAGAGTCAGGCCTAGAATTAGTCCAGAGCACATAGATCATGCTCATAGTGTAGACTTAATCTGGGCCACTGTTCAAGCAATGCTGTGGTTTATTAAACTTAGTACATCTTCCCACGCCCCTCCCCACACACCTGCATTTTCACAGTGTTACTTGAGGTTATCATCTTGTAGGATTGTACACTGTCCCATTGTATCCCTCATAATACTTAGCTTAGATTTAAGGGAAGCCAGTTGGCACTTAATACACTTAATATTCGATCCTTCTTGACTTAGGACTTTTGATGGACTACAGAGGAAAAGAGGGAAGCGATCATAAACGAAGAAAATAATTGGAAGTGGCCACAGAGCTTTACTTGAGTGGAGAGGCCGAAACAGTTCATGCAAAAAGCCTGTTGTCTTGCAATTAATGGTTCAGGTCTTGTCAACGACTGCACTACATGGTGAACATACCATCTGCCAAATTCTTTCATGTATTAGTTTCATGGTGGCTGGCTTTCTTGTTGCTAAGGTTATTGTTGTTTTTTTGTCTCCAATTTGTCTTTTAATTTATGGAATATCTCTTATTTTAACTAATAAAAAAAAAGGAAAAATGCAGTTTTAAAAGAAACTCTTCTCTAGATTAACCTTTATCATAAACTGATTGTGTAAACTTGGACAAGTCAATTAACCTCTCTGAGTTGCAGGTTTATGCAGATGAATTATTTCATTTTTAACTGGTTGTCTTGGCATGATGTAGACAGTGCCAGACACATATTAGGTGCTCAATAAATGTATTTTGAAAAATTACATCAACAATTGTACTTTCTCAAAAAAAAAAAAAAAGACAAAGAGAAGGGAAGAAACAGAAAGGAATAAAAAATATATTAAACTAACCTGGATTTTTCTGAAAAATATCGAAGTGATTCATTTTTCTAATGTCATTGCATTCAGACATGAATCAATAAACAATAGTTATCTTGCCCTGAGCTATGCTACTCAGTGGTTAGAGCATTGGCTGAAGGGTTTCAGGTTCAATTCCTGATCAAGGGCACATACCTGGGTTGCAGGTTCTAGTCCAGGCCTCTCTTGGGACATGTGTGGGAGACAACCAATCCATGTGTCTCTCTCACATCCATATCTCTCTCTCTCTCTCTCTCTCTCTCTCTCTCTCTCTCTCTCTCTCTCTCTCTCCCTATCTCTCCCCACCTTTCACTCTCCCTAAAAATTAATGGAAAATATATCCTTGGGTGAGGATTAACAAAAAAAAACAACAACAACAACAAACACCTAAGCATTGGACATATAGAAAATGCTATCTATACAAATGTCTTGTTGTTATTACTGTACTTACAAAATTATAATCCACTTGGAGGGTACCTAATCTAATTTTCCCCCTAATCTTTTCCAACTAGAGGCCCAGTGCACGAATTCATGCACAGTTGGTGTCCAGCTGGCCCAGCCCCAATCGGTGGATCAGGACCAGGAGGAGACAGCGGGAGGTTGGCCAGCGGGCCCACCCTGATCTGGGCCCAATCAGGGCCAGGCCGGCTGGGGGGAGGGGCTGCGGGAGTTTGGCCAGCTGGCTCCACCCCCTGATCAGGCTGGTTCGCTGGCTGCAGTGGGCATCATAGCGACCAGTCGTTCTGGTTGTTACAGTGTTCTGGTCGCTGACTTTTTATATATATAGATGATGCTACTGTGGGCAACAGACATACAGGGAAAGAAGATGGGCACTTGGCTAATATTTGCAATTTCTTTTCTATGGTTGTCCTAAGCTTGCAGAGATAAACACACCAAGCGTTCAGGAAATTGTCTAACTATAAAGGCCTTGGGAAGAAGGAAGAGGCTGGCTAGCCTGTAAGCACCAAAATAAAAAGGATTCTACCTTTCTTGCTTTTATCACTATCTAGTGGCACTCAGGAAGGTGTTGTGAGGGTAGGGTAGACAATGAGGGAGAGCATTCTTTAGAAAATTAAAACAACAATGAAACCAACTCATTGGGTCTGTTCTTTGTTATCACCATGAGCTGGCAATGCTTAACAATGTCAGTGATGAAATCTCTCCAACTCTAAGGCAGACCTCACCCACCACCCAGCCCCACCCCTTGGACACTATTCCACTGACACTGTTCCCAATACCTCAGACAATGCCTGGCACATAACAAGTAAGACTTGCAGTAGAAGGTGATAATGGGAGAAATAAGAATCTAGAATTCCGCCTCCCCTACAATTCCTTGTCTTTTCCTATTGAAATTTTTAGAAACATGAAAACCATAATATAAATTCCCCATATTCTTTGTACATCTCTGGCCCTTATTTAAATCCTATGCAAACTTTTAAATTCCACAGCCCAGGGGGAAATGTCCCTGCAATGAGGACAGGGCTGGCCAATGGGATATGTGGGAAAAGTTCAGAATGACCTGAGAGTAGGAACCCTAACAAGAGAAGGTTGAAGGGTCGAAGTTTCCGCACACAAAGTGAAGCATTAAGTTTAGGAGGGTGACCAGATGGACTCCCTTCTCCCAAAAGCACAAAAGACAATATATAACAGCTTCTATGTCCGGCTGACTTTCCAGCATCAAGAAGGGCTGAACTCTGCAAACAGACTCTAGAAGTCATCATTAGCAGGAGGATGGGGAAGTGTGTTTTCCACTGAGGTCAAGCCTCAGTGACTATGATATACTTTCTGAAGCATTAGAGTCACCTGTAACTGCTTAAATGGTAGAGGAAAGGTGACTCATGTTGGTAAAAGCAAGTTGGGGAGTTTGGGGGGTAATGACTTGAGCCCTATACTGGCCATACCTAGTGGCTCACTTTTAGGTAAGATAACAATGCAGGGGAAATACTCCTTTGTATTTTCTTTGTGATACTCCCCCTAGCATTTTTCTTTTATCTGTTTATTAATATCTGGTGTCTCATTTGGATAAGACAGAATCTTTTCTGAAGCAGCAATACATTTTAACATGCAAATACCTGGTGAGGTAACAACAGGTAACATCTGCCATAAGATATACAGACCTCTGTATCAGAGCAGAGGTCGCCTCAGGAAGATTGTGGTGGTTTGTTGTGGGGACAGACATAGAATAGTGACTTCTTCGGTAAGGTTAGGGGAAGGCGCAGAATAAGGTTCCAAAAGACAAACATCTGATTGCTCCAACCATCAGTCTTTTCCTGCAATGCTCTGACCTAGGGCCCCAGTGATAAGTGACTGCACTCAGGCGGCATTTAAGATGATTGGCACAGGACCTCTGGTCAGCATGGAGGGAGCGAAGGTGGGTGCTATTTATCCTGCTCTGAACGTTTATTCTGTTTATTCCGACACAAGTGTAATGTCTCAGTCATGGGCTCAGTCAAGTGCTCTGCTCGTTGGTCTTCTCGAGTCACCTCTGCCAACAGTGCGGTGCCTCCAAATCACAGCAGCGCTCTGCGCAGCAGGTCCCTGCCTGAAACGGTCAATCCTGTTTCCTGTGAGCACTTCCCACGTCCTGACCAGACAATTCTCTTATCAAAACACCTCAAACATGGTCATTTCTATCCTCACAAAAGATAATATAATTTAAATGAGATTGTGGAATGCTAAGACACCCAAGCTCCATGCGCTAAAATTTTCTATCAAGCAGAGCCACCTAGTGGTAGAATGAAATGTTTTTTTTTTTAAAAAAAATTCTCCTTTAATTTCTCATATAATAATCCCATCCAGGTGGGGTTCCCTCCCTCCCTCCCTCCCTCCCTCCCTCCCTCCCTCCCTCCCTCCCTCCCTCCTCCCTCTTTTTCTCCCTTCCTCCCTCCTTCCCTCTCTCCTCCCTCCTTACCTCACTCCCTCCCTCCCTCCCCCCCCTCCCTTCTTCCCTGTTCATTTTACTCACTCCTGTTTTCAGCTACCCCCTTTGAGACTATCACCTCTATTTTCCTTACTGAACATCTACTCATCCAAGATAAACAAACCTACAGTTTGTTATAATCAGAGAGTTTTACAACTAAAACAGAAGCGGACTTAAAAGTTAGTGTCTCTTTAGAAGGGCAAGAAAATTTCAACACTAAATTATTTCTAAAGATAAAGAGTGACTATTTACTTTGTGCCTTTCTATTTTCTCAAACTCACACTTCCTTTTCTTCACACTACACACATATGCAGCCATGGAAACTGTCACATAAAATGTACAGGCACAGAGAAGGTGAGCAAACGTGCTCTGCTGTGGTCTCCAATCCCCTCCTGGTTTGCACATGGAATCTATGGCAGAAATTAGAAGTACCTTGGGTTGTGGTTTGATTCCTTTTCTTCTTTTAAAGTAGGTAAACATTCACTGTCGGCTAGGACAGAATGAAAGCAAACGCATTGTTAGTCACTGAAATTCTATTTTCTATCCACAAAACTCACACAGTTACACTTCACAATTCCCCAGTCTGTATGTGCAGAAATGGCCTCACCAGGGAGTTGCAGAGGTTCAGAGATTAATGGTGGCAAGGCTCTTGAAATGGACAAAGCACTAAAGCACAGATATAAGACTTCAGTGTGCTTCTGGCCCTGTTGGAAAGGGCACAGATAATGGTGGCTTGGTCATTCAGTCTCTGCAGAACCCCACTGTGGCCCCAAAAGCCTGAATCTGCATGATTCAGGATACACGCTGGAATAAAATGGCTTCACCTGAGGTCCTGATGTGCAGGGAGAATGACTCCAATCAGGATGCACCATCAGAAAGAAGCAGGTAAAGTGGGGAGCAGCTAACCTTAAAGTCATCAGAATTCTGTTACACCACTGCCATTTTTAAGGGAAATAAAGAACTATTGGGCCTATCACCTATGTGTCAAAATAACTGCTTTAGTGTCGAATAGAAATGCCTTTCCCCTATTTTATGCTTTTAGTCAGTGTACCAGGATCATGGTTTTGTATTTAACAGATCTCAGGAACAAAAGGGAATACACCAAAATGTTAAGAGAGGTCGTCTTTGAGTGGTGGGATTCTTTTTCATTCTACTTTTTTTTTTGAATTGTCTAAATTCTACTGTGTATGTATTTTACTTTTATAAACTAAAAACAACAAAATGAATCTACTTTAAGGATTGTTTCCTTTCCTCACAAGCTTTCCAGAGCCATTCAATCCTCAATATTGGATTGCGAAAAACTGTTTAAAATTGTGCAAGTTAGTTAAGTGGTTCTAATCTTTTGGAAAACTGGTCTTGATAAGCCTCTGGTACAGTAATTCTAATAACAAATCTTTAAGTTATATAAACTCCATTGTAGATTGTTGAATCTGACAGACCCTGGGGTATTTTTTATGGTAAGTGTTAAAAATACAAATGACATGACAGTATAAACAGTGGATTTTATTAATTTAGGCTGAGCATTAAAAATAATTTATTGATTTTTTAAAGAAATTAGAAAAACAGCTGTCATTATTTTTAAGTCCAAATATTTAGTGAAAACTAAGGAACATATACTGCAATTACTGCCAGATATCAATTGGGAATTAGGTTATATGGAGACATTTATATTACTATTTATGTTAGCAGCTTTCTTTACAGTGATGGGAATGTTCTAGACTTTCACTATAGTGGCCACTAGCCACAAGTGGCTACTGAGTACTCAGAATGTGGCGAGAGTGATTGAGGAACAGTATTTAAAATTTTACTTTTAAAATTTTAATCTCAATAAACCACATATGGCTAGTGTCTATTGTATTGGACAGCACCGATCTGTCAACTATATTTGACAAAGTTTATAACCAGATACAGATCAAAATCATAAATCTCTAAATATAAGGTGAGGCCAAAAGCTAACTTTTTCCAGATAATTTGGACTCCAATTTCCTTGCTTGAAAAAAAGACCATTTTCTTCTTAAAAAAAGATCATTTGAAAAACTTGTACAAAAATAAAAACAAATGGCAATGATGCGGTTATTAAACTGAATACTTAGGGGCGGTCAGACCCAAGTGTGTTATCTGTGTGTACCAGAGTGTATGTGGACTGGGCTCACGCGGTTCCACTCCAGGATTTATGGGGGATTGACAAAGCTGTTGCAGCCTTCTGTGAGTAGAGAGGACAGAAAAGCAAGGTTCCCACATACCATTTCTATGCATGCTCATCCATTTATCAAGCTCTTCCATCTCTATTTCCATAACAGAGGGTGTATCTTCCTCAAAAATAGGGCTAGAAAGAGAGGAAAAAGCTTGTTGAAAGAAAGAAAGGTATGGTGGGCTGAATTTCTGTGGGGGAGTCTAGCGTGTTGACTGTGAGGAAGATGAACTTGATTCAAAGCCTTACACTCCAGGGCAGGCTAAGTGTGTGCCCTGTTCAAATGCACCAAACTCTAATAGGGAGAAAATTAGAACAACAATCTTGACCTACCACTGATCCAAAAATGGTGGGCGCATAACCCAGCACAACCCAGCGAGGGGGGGGGTGGGGGGTGGTTAGGGGCGGGGGTAAAAGGGAACCGGAGACTCCGCTTCCCGGAAGGCACACAGGGGAGCACACAACTCCTCCAGGGAGTTGCCACATTTAGCAACTTCACCTTGCTCAATTTCACTTCCCTTTCTTTGGTGTTTTTGATCACTGCCCCCAAGTCAAGAGGCTACAGTCAATGAATTGCTTGTATCACCTCTCCCTTCAATTCCCATGCTTTTCTGTCTTGGAGAAAGTGAGCAGTTCCTTTCAGAAATCTACTGCCCTCACTTGCTAGGGTTTAGAGGTTTAGGGCACCCAGTTTGGAGAAAGAAGCCCCTGGTTAATGGAGGTGGGGAGGAGGAGGGGATCACCAACTCTGAACAGCTGCCAAGGTGTTACACCTTGAATAGGAAGCAAGCCCAGTGTCTGAGTAAGGCTGCGGTGGTTGGGGTGGAGGCTGGAGGAGGATGTGGGCATCGCTCTAGAACATTCTCCCGTGGTAAATCTACTTCCCCCCTTCCCTCCGATCTTTCTTCCTCTCCCCTCTTCCTTCTACCAGGGGTCTTCTTCCTTAATACCAGCTGAAGTATCTTTCCTGGTGATAAAAAGTTTAATCCAAATAAATGAAGCAAATTCTTTGAAAACCACCCAGCGTCAGAATATTTACGATGCGTTTGGAATTGTCAGCGGGAATCAGAAAAAAGATGGTTTTCTGAACCGAGGACCCTGTCCTCAGCCCAGATGCCCTTCTAGGTTGAGGTTTGAGGACAGGGACATCCTTCCAAAGGCTGTAGACCACGACAGGCTGTTTTCTGGGGCTCAGGAAGCAAGGGTCCCCACAAGGAACAAAAACTCTTGTAATCTGCTCCCCTCCCGACCGTCCTTGTCCAGGCTGAGCTGAACCGGAGGGAGTGGGGAAGACTTACACTTTCAGGTTGTCGCCTCCCAGTTCATCTAGAAGAGAATAAACATAAAGGTCATGCTGGCTTTGTTTGTCCGGAACAGCTTTTTATTTCAACAACAGCTGAAATCTGCTGCACAAAGAGAACAAAACGGCCTTATGTAAATTGCGTTTTTAAAGGAGCAATAATTAACCTCTAAATCAATGGTTCTCAACCTTCCTAATGGTGCGATCCTTTAATACAGTTCCTCATGTTGTGGTGACCCCCAACCATAAAATTGTTTTCGTTGCTACTTCATAACTGTAATTTTGCTACTGTTATGAATCATCATGTAAATATCTGATATGCAGGATGTATTTTCATTGTTACAAATTGAACATAATTAAAGCATAGTGATTAATCACAAAAACAATATGTAATAATATACGTGTTTTCCGATGGTCTTAGGCGACCCCTGTGAAAGGGTCAATTGACCCCCAAAGGGGTCGCGACCCACAGGTTGAGAACCGCTGCTCTAAATCAAACGTGTGTCCATTGCCATATTGAAATGAAGTCCCAATCCATTGGAAATCTGTTTTCTTTTAGATGGGAGGTGCTCCGAGTGCTCAGATGTTCATCCCTCTTTGTTTTCTCCACACAAAGAAGACAAACAGTGGTAAGGGGGGTGGAAAAGGGTCTTACAAGAGAGCCCCCTGCCCCAAAATGTCCCCATTCAAAGCACTGCTTTTCATCTACTTGTGACACACTAAACCCAACACTGTGACTGTCCCTTTGACCCAGAGTAGGATGTGGGGACTCCCTCCAGAGCTCCTCTCGGAAGAATCCTGGCACCTGCTCTTTGCATGACTGGAACCGTCACTTCTACCCTCAACTTACACACTTTCCTCAGGTAGGCCTCCCCCAACTCCTCTACCTGAAGTGGGGCCCATCTTCCCAACTGTTCCCCAGCTGAACACTTTGCTTGTTTCCTTCATAGCATTGGCCCCAATTTGTCACTGATCGATTCATCTGTTTAATTCTTTCCCATCGGTTTTTTTCCAATAGACCATTGCTCCCAAAGGGCAGAGATTGTGTCTGTCATGTTTGTCATAGTGCCCCTCACCTCCCACCCATCCAGTGCACTACCTGGGAAACACACAGTACTCATTTACTGAAGAGATGAACAGATCTTAATCTGGAGTTTGTCCAGCGCTGGGGTTAAATTCATGGCTGGTGTTTTGGACTTAACATTATCAAATAGTGAAACTTCCAACAAGTCTGCTTTTCCTTGCTATTGGTTGAGGTAAGGGTCAGACCACAGTTTGCAAAACAGCTCTACTGCACGCCTGCTTCCAACAAGCCTGGCTTTCCCTGCCTTTCCCTGCTTTTCCTGCTATTGGTTGAGGTAAGAGTCAGACAACCGTTTGCAAAATGGCTCTGATGCATGCAGATCAGACTCCAAATGAACATGTGGCAGGAATCAGAGCCCAGTGTCCCAGCGCAGGTTGTGTTTTGTTTGGCAAGAGGATCAACGCGCCCAGAGAAATGAGGCTATGATGTCAAGCAAGTGGATAGCACAGGCCTGCTGCACCTTTTATGATGTGAAAACCATGAAGAAACAAACCACTCTGTAGAGGTCCACCAAATAGTTGTATGTTCCTAATCCTTGGCAGTCAGAGGCCTCATTTTGTCTGGTCTGCAGAAATGCAGGTCCCCAGTGAGGGGACATAACCGGCAGGCACTTGGAACTGAGCTCCTGGCTGCAGCTGGGAGCTGCTGTAATTTTCTGTGGGTTGGCAAGCTTGAATGGCATTGCTAATCCAGGAAATCTGGGTACAGATGTAAGTTTCATGCCATCACTGCTTACCTTCCAGGGGCTGTAGGTTATGTCCTCCTGATTCCCACCTGCTGCCCTCCCAAATAGGAATCTGAAGATTCCTGCAGAGGCCTGACTCCTTAAAACTTTGGAGGAAGGGGAGATGTACATCTTATATTTATGTGTATATGCATATATATGTATGTGTATGTATGTGTGTGTATACTAGTATATATTTTTTTTTCATCTAAAATTTACATACTGTTTCCTTAAGGGCTTTTACTCTAAATAAAGCCACTACAGGTGACCCATAAAAATCTCCTGTTTTGTCATTCCCTCTCCCTCTTCCCTGTTTAATTCCCCCCCACCCCCCTGCTAATTTCTCAGGGAGCAAGTGTCCCTGGAGCCCCACTGTCTAGGCATGGATTTATCTCTATAATCTGAGCGCCCGCAGGCTTTGTGGTGAGTAAAAGCTAGCCCTCACTGCAGATGATGGGAAAGTTTAAAACCCCATTACCAAAGTGCTCCAGAGGCACCAAATGGGAAGCTCCTATAATCAGTATTCAAACAGAGCAAAAAGCTTTCTGCAGCCTCATCTCCCCTGCTCCAGGACCATTACCCCTGCCCCAGCAGCCATGGCAACAGAGAAACATCTGGGAGAGAACACCAGAGCAGAGCATTAAACCGGGAGGAAGACCAATTACTTGTCCTCAGCAATCAGGCCCTGCCCGCTCCACTCCACCTGGCCTAAATCTCTTTATTAATAGCCCTTACACAGCCCCTCACCCTCACTTGCTCCTATTTTCCCTCCCATCGCCCTTCCGTTTCACATCCTTCCACCCACTTTGTCCTCCTCTTTCAGCTCCTACATTGCACCCGCTTGGCCTGACTATGCCCCCTCTTCCACAGCTACCCTGTGCATGGGATGGTGGGATTGCTGGGGTGCAAGGATGGGGGCAGGAGCCCAGCAGGGGACTGGCTTGCTTATCTTGTTTCCATGCTGAACGGTGAGCAAGGGAGACGGCCTCTTTCTGGATATTTACGGAGCAGAGAGCCAGGTGTCATGTGGCCACTGCCTGTTTAAAGTGATGGTTTACTGCCAGCTGTTTCCCCTGCAGCTCTTTCAAAGAGACACAGCACACCAAGACATTTAATAATAACAAATGCAATGCCTGGAGGTGTAGGAAGAATGACAATAGAACATCAAGTTACTACATAGCATTTCCCTTTTCCTGGACATGAACCTGACGGGGCCCAAAGAAAAAAGCCAATTCCCAAATGGATGAAGCGTTTTTCCTAAAAATGTTGGCCAAGTCATCGCTAGTTGTCAAATTTAAAGACTTATTTTCTGGTGTAGAAGAATATGTGAAGAAAGAAACCGTGTGTTTATTGCTAGCTCTGAGGGGACATCATCCATGCCCTCCCATATAACAGTCCTTGGGAATTTTTTAAGTCCCCTGGAACTTTTATTTTTCCTGGAAAACAAATGTAATTAAATCAGATTTTGTGAATTTAAATATTCTCCTTTTATTGGCTTGCTTATGATGTAAAACATGAATGGGTAGAATTCAGTGGACAGTCATCATTAGCATTCAGTTTGTCTGAAGAGATATGAAAGTGTTAAGCAGTTAACCACCTGAATCTATATTAAAGGAGTGGATAGTAAAAGAAAATATTCAAGTCAAACTATATATTTATTTACTTATTTTGTAATAAGCAACTGCTTCAAAATGCTAAGCTCTCTATGTTGTTTTTTCTTAAAGTAGAGCATACTTAAACTAAACAGAATGTGCCAATTTATAGTAAAGATATGTGAAAATTTTGTTTTTTAATCTCTGCGAATAGGTGTTCTTTAAAATAAGTTATAACATTGTTTCATTTACTCAACAAACATTTATTGAGCAACTAATCTATGTGTTGGGCCAAGCATTACATTATGTAAAAGGGATAATAATAATAAGCTAATACAATATGCCAGGTATTGTTTTTTCTAAGCCCTTTTCATAGATGAATCCATCTACTTCTCACAACAACTCTGTGAGGTAGGTTTTGAATTCGTCCATTTTACAGACGAGGAAGCTGACACAGAAGTCACAGAACTAGGAAATGCAAAAGCCAACTAGTCCGTGTGGTTCCAGAGTCTGTCCTCTCCACCTCCAGGCCACACTGTCAAACAGATAAATAAGACAAATTCTTGCCTCTCTTGTACCTTAAAGAGAACATAACCTAGTTAGAAAGACCAAAAAAAGGCAAGTCCCCAAGTTATGCCAATGCAAACACTGTGCACATTGTGACCACAGCCTATGAGAGCACAGAAGAGGTGGTGGTTGATTTTGCCTGAGGAGTGATTATTCAAGGCTTCATGAAAACTTTACAAGTGAGCATTGAAGAATGGAGCTGCAGTTTGCCAAGCAGACAAGAAGGCAATCCAGACAGAAGAAATGGCATCAACCAGGCATGAAGGCATCCTGCAAGTACAAGCCATGCTCTGGGAACAGCAAACACTTCAAGTGCGGCTGCAGTGTAGGATGCATGGGCCATGTCTGAGGATGAGGCTGGTTCTCACTTATGAGGCTTCTGAACTTTGAGATTCCCACAATAAAGTTCAATGAAAAACCCCTTTCTGGATTTAGAGCCCAAGAGTATGGCCATTTGACTGGATACCCCCTAATTCCTCCCAACCCCATAACCCCATTAGGTAAAACCAGCTATGGGGCTATATGGTTTAGGCAGGAAATTCTCACCTTTCCTACTAAAAAAAAAAATAATTAGGCCCATGCAGCTCTGTTTGCTTTTTCTTTAGCTTACAAAGGAGCGCCCATGTGATCACAGTTAGTAGGTCACCCTGAAATTTCAAACTATGGAGGAACATGTGTATTTCCTACTTCCTTGAAATCTATTATATTAGCCCCTATCGTGAAAGGTAACGAACTTCAGTGCTTCTTCCCCAGCTCACATTTGCTATACCTGAGGGCATAATGGGAAAAGACCATTTACAGTTCCTGCTGAGAGCTTGAAGGCTTTCTTGGTGCTAGGACAATGAGCAAGGCACACAGGCCAAGGGCATGATCTCAAAGCCAGAGATGCCGTTAATGGGTGTGAGGGACATACAGTGAGTTTTGTATGCACATATGAATATGCATCTTATTAGAGAAATTTTCATCCCTTGAGTGATCTTTGGAGTGACTAACGTCTTCAACTTAAAAATCTAATTGGTGCCCTGGCCAGTGTTGCTTAATGGTTAGAGTGTTGGCTCGCACACTGGAGGGTCACAGGTTTGATTACTGGTCAAGCTTTTGCTTCCTGGCCCTGGTCAGGGTGCAGGTGGGAGGCAACCAATTGATATATCTCTCTCACATGGATGTTTCTCTCTCTCTCTCACGCTTTCTCTCCCTCCCTTCTACTCTCTCTAAAAATCAATGGAAAAAATCCTCAGGTGAGGATTAACAAGAACAACAAAATCTAATTGGAATCATTTTTCACCAGCACAAGCCAAAAGTATCCAAGTCTCCTTTGGACCTAGATACCCTAAAATCTAGAATGTGATGCTCCTGGAATAGGAACGGAATACTCTCAGAGTGAATCTCTGACCTGGGGAATTTTCTATGAGACTGGTTTTCTAGGAGATTGATGATAGCAATCTTTAGCCAAGTAGGACTTTGCTTATGAAAGTTAGCATAGCTTTCATGGGAATAAGAACAATGCTTCACCTAGGCCTTTTCAAGATCAAATTGGAATGTGGCATGGGGGAGAAAACAATATCTGTGGCAAAAATATCGGTGGAAGAATCCCCTTCTTGCAGAATGATGCCACGGTCCCTGCCTTCCCAACCCTGACCCCACTGCTTCCACCATCCTTACCCTTTCCTCCAACCGTAGGAACACGTTACATTGATCTACTGGCCAAGATTATACGAGGGCATTATCTGGATTAGGTTCAGAGCTGGTAGCTGTGTATATTAACTTTCAATTTAGGCTAAAAACATTCTCTTTTTAAAAAAGAACAAAATATGGCATTTTTAAACTCTGGAAAATTACATTGAAATATGTCATTCATGACTTATTATTATCCTATATAATAAAACCCTAATATGCAAATTGGCCAAACGGTGGAATGACCTGCAGAATGACTGGTTGCTATGATGCACACTGACCACCAGGGGCAGACACTCAACGCAGGAGCTGCTCCTGGTGGTCAGTGTCCTTCCACAGGGGGAGCGCCACTTAGGCAGAAGCTGGGCTCATGGCTGGCAAGCACAGCGGTGGTGGCAGGAGCCTCTCCTGCCTCCTCTGCAGGTGGGTGGTAATGAGCAAGTGGTCCCGGACTGCGAGAGCCCTGGACTGAGAGAGGAATGTCTGACAGCAAGGGGGATTGGGCCTAAACTGGCAGTCACACATCCCCCAAGGGGTCCTGGACTGCGAGAGGGCATGGGCCAGGCTGAGGGAACTGCCCTCCCCCCCGCAACTCAGTGCACAATTTCATGCACCAGGGCTCTAGTTTTATATAATTCTTGTTGCTTATCTTAAAACCTCTCAGTTCCTTCTCCTATCTTATCCCCAACTCTAGGCAGGTATTAGGATAATACTCACATGTCTGTAAAACACTCTGGGATCCTTGGCTAGAAGGCAGCTCTGTGTAGAAGCAAAAGTATTTTGTTTTAGTGTTTGTCCATTGACCCATGAAGCAATTGTCTGGGATTGGGAACACACAAAATATTTACCTTGTTTAGCTTTTTTTCTTTTATAGTTGATTACAATGAGTACCACTGATAAGAGTAGGAGTGCCAAGACAACCAACGGGATCAACACCATCAGTATAAGCTCTAGCTGAGTATCCTCCTCACCAATGCTGGTATAATTCTCATATTCAGTTACTGTTTCTGTGGTCAGTGCAGCAACTGTACTTATAACAGTAGTATCTTCATCTGTAGGTTCCACTTTCTGGGTGACATCTGTTGACTCACCTTCTGACTCTTCTGCTGCCTCAGAAGAAGGCAGTTCTGACTCTGTGAGAACACACACACAAAATTGACATCGCCATGGAGACAAAGCTAGTAAGTTATGTTTTCAATGATTTTTTAAAAATTTTTTTCTACATGCATCCAGTGGTAAACTTGATTTCCTGAATTGGGCCTTCCAGTTCAGAGTGATACAGAGTTTTGAAGTAACATAAATGGAGCTCAAGCTGGGAGTACATTGAACATGGAATCAGAGTCCAGATAAACCTCCCACAAATGCAGGCAGTTTAGCCTTGACCGATACTTTAGACACATTTCATCAAAGGCATTAAAAACCTTTGCCCTGTCATGGGTCATATTCCAAGACACCTCCTATAGCAGTGATGGCGAACCTTTTGAGCTCGGCGTGTCAGCATTTTGAAAAACCCTAAGTTAACTCTGGTGCTGTGTCACATATAGAAATTTTTTGATATTTGCAACCATAGTAAAACAAAGACGTATATTTTTGATATTTATTTTATATATTGAAATGCCATTTAACAAAGAAAAATCAACCAAAAAAATGAGTTCGCGTGTCACCTCTGACAAGTATGTCATAGGTTCGCCATCACTGTCCTATAGGGTATCATATTTTAATAACATTTCTGAATAAATCGAAGCCCACATGTACTGTAGGTACTTGCCACATAACACTGAACGGTAGGTACTTGCCACATAACATTTTAATAAAAGGTTACCTATCAATAATTTTTTGAAATTGCGGCGACTGCTTCGATTTCAGCGTCAGGGCTCACATGCTGCCGAGAAACGTGTCTGCCTCTGAGATTATCTGACAGAAATCCTCCTGGATTCTAAATAAAAATACAATGTGTACTTCCTTTATAAAGTGAAATTCTCAAGGGGAATTTAGAGACTAAAGAAATGGTACCAATATTTAAATTTATTTAGTAAAATGAATCTTTAGAGCTTCCCCTATTTAGAAACTCTAAGCACATTAATTCTGTTTGAACTTCAGATTGTGTTGGAAAACCATCCTGTGATTCATCACAGCACTGGAAAGGACTATTATTTGGAAGATCTTTCCTCGCCTGGCTATGTGGTGGTCTTGGGTAGGTGGGCTAAAGGTTTTCAACCTGTCATGTTACAATGTTGCCTATCATTCAGATGGGGCCCGTTGAGGAAAACAGAATATGATTTTAGGCTACAGAACACGTATCGAATGAGTTAATTTTCGTGAAAGCTCTTTCTAAGGTGTTATGAAAATGGAAAAGTTGGGTGTTTTATTTTTTTTTCTTTTTTTTTTTTATTGCTTAAAGTATTACAAAGGGTATTACATATGTGTCCATTTTATCCCCCCGCCCTAGACAGTCCCCTAGCCTCCCCTATCCCCCAATGTCTTATGTCCACTGGTTATGCTTATATGCATGCATACAAGTCCTTTAGTTGATCTCTTACCCCCCTACCTCCTGCCCCGCAACCCTCCCCGGCCTTCCTGCTGCAGTTTGACAATCTGTTTTAGGCAGCTCTGCCTCTGTATCTATTATTGTTCAAAAGTTTATAATGGTCTCTATTATCCATGAATGAGTGAGATCATGTGGTATTTTTCCTTCATTGACTGGCTTATTTCACTTAGCATAATGCTCTCCAGTTCCATCCATGATGTTGCAAATGGTAAGAGTTCCTTCCTTTTTAGAGCAGCATAGTATTCCATCGTGTAGATGTACCACAGTTTTCTAATCCATTCATCTACTGATGGGCACTTAGGCTGTTTCCAGATCTTAGCTATGGTGAATTGTGCTGCTATGAACATAGGGGTGCATATATCCTTGGAAAAGTTGGCTGTTTTAAACTATGCCCTGTTACTACAGGCTAGACCAGTGCTCCATAGAATGACCTAGCTCCGTGGTTGGCAAACTGCGGCTTGGCAAACCGCAGCTCGCGAGCCACATGCGGCTCTTTGGCCCCTTCAATGTGGCTCTTCCACAAAATACCATGTGCGGGCATGCATGTACAGTGCAATTGAAACTTTGTGGCCCATGCGCAGAAGTCGGTATTTTGTGGAAGAGCCACACTCAAGGGGCCAAAGAGCCACATGTGGCTCGCGAGCCGTGGTTTGCCGAGCCGCAGTTTGCTGACAGCAGAGGCAATCCAGTACCTTGTCTAGATGCATTACTGTTTGACAACAGATTCCTCTGACTTGATTTATAAAACCTTTGTTTGATCCCAGTCTAATTATTTTGGTTATCTAATCTAATAATAGACAAACAAGTTAATTGACCGTGCCTTCACTACGCCTCCCATTGGCTAATCATCGAGATATGCAAATTAACCACCAACAAAGATGGCGGTTAATTTGCATACGCAGCTCTGGCCGGAGCAGCAAAGACGCTGAAGGCAGCTCCGGCCGGAGCAAAGGCCTGGGTGCTGGGTGCCTGCCGGGAGCCGGTCCATCCTTGCTGTTTCAAGGGCCCTGGCATATATGGCATACTGTTCTTAATATGTTTGCTCACCTTCTTGGCACTATGTGTTTTAACCAAGGTCTCTGAGAAAGGTTGTTTCCCCAGGTAGGGATTTTCCCCTGAAGTTAGGGAGGGAATAAAAACCTCTTAACTAAGTGCCAGGCGGGTAATTAATCACTTTAACTATGAACAATCATGCTTAAGCTACATAATCTTTACTCCCTGGAATGGAGATAAGAAACACCCTAACCTTTGAAATAGAGATTGATAGGATTGGAATCAACTGGTATAAATACAGATGTAAGAAGACAGAACCAAGAGAGATAGAACCTAGGCACAGAACCTACACAGAACGTTCTCTAGAGACAAAAGAACTTTGCTGGAGAGAACATGGCAAAAGAGCCTGGACAGAAACTGGCCTCAGAACCTAGAGACAGAACCTAGCGAGAGAACCTGGCAAAAGATCCTGGACTGAACCTGACTATAGAACATGGCAAGAGAACCTGACTAGAACTTGGTGACTGAACCTGGCTGGAGAACCTGGACAGAACCTGGCTGGAGAACCTGGAGAACCTAGCAAGAGAACATGGACACAGAACCTGGCTGGAGATCCGAACAAGAACTTTGCTGGAGATCCAGACCAGAACTTGGCTGGAGATCCTGGCTAGAGATCCTGGCTAGGCTGCTGATCAACTGAACGCTGTCTCCATGTCATTCCTTCTTCGCCGACTCCGTCTACGCCTTTGGGGACCCCTGGACCCGCTGGGGTTGGACCCCAGCAGGTGCCGGAGGAAAACAAATGCCGGCAGCCAGGGGAAGGGAAGGCCTATTGCACGAATCTTTTCGTGCAACAGGCCTCTAGTATATATATAAACATTTCCGTTTTCCCCAAGACCAGGGAATGCACTTGATAATCACATGAGTGATCAATGCAATGACAAACTGCAGGATATAACTAACTGGTATTCCTCACTTGAATGTACCAAAAGCAGGATTAAAAAAAAAAGTCTACCATTTATTGACCTCTGCCTTCTGGATTAAGTGACTTTGTCCTATATTTATGTCTTTGAAATAAAGTAAGTCAATACTGTATTCACTCAAGCTTTGATATCTCACATATCATCCTGGGTCAGGAAAAGATATTTGTCTACCAGGGCAATGTCCTCATTAAACTCATTCGCTTGCAGGACTGCTAGAACCAAACCGCATTTTTTACTGAAAATCCAGGCCACTGAAGACCTGACTAAGAGGGTGGGGGTATGGGGGAGGGGTACATACACAAGTGGAGTTGGTGGTAATGACCCTTTTCCTTGAGGTCAGTGCTTATGGATCTTTCTCAAACACCCAGATTTCCCTTTTATTTCTTTTGCTGTCTTCTGCTGCTACCATCCCAAGCTAACCTTTGTAAAGAACTTACTAAGAGCCCAGCCCTGTGCTCTGCCTTTTAGTTGGATGAATTCATTTTGTTCTCACCACTTTTTCAGATAGAAACTGGGGCAAAGAGGTTACAGGACTTGCCCACCATCACAGAGCTATCACGGAGGAGTGAGGGTGTGAACCTAGGAGGGCTGATCGCAGAACCTGGCTGGAATGTAATGATTACAAGTCACAAAGTGGTGAACAAGAGAGGGGACCTCCTTTTCTTGCCCATCAGTTTCTAAGGAGGTGGCTTCCTGGCTTACAGGGCAAGGGAGAGGAAGGGTTCCCCAGAAGCCTCGACTTTGCCAGAGCTCTCACTAGGCTTCTCAGCCCAGACCGCTGTGAACGAAGCTGCCCGGATGCAGGGTCTTCCCAGTGCCTCTCCAAGGAAGGCCAGCAAGTTCCCAGTGGAACACCCAGCACGCTCAGTCACCACTTGACCCGTGGCCCCAAAGAAAAGAAAATAGGAAAATAAATAGGCTAGCAGGGAAAATGAGGGCTTTCTGATGGTAGGAAATGAAGGAGAAGTGGAAAGAAGGGCAGCAGCTGGTCCTAGGTTTGTACATTTATTTTTCAGCATGAGAGACAATGCTGGTCACTGCTGGCCATTAGTGGCCTTTTTGAGTGAAAGGGGCCAGAACTTCTCTCTACAATATCCCTCTCACATGTATGTTTTCCATGTTAAACATCATTTACTCAGTAAAATTCTCTAGTGGCTGAATAAATGAGAATCAAGTCTCTCTCTCTTTTCTTTACTCTGCAAGCCTTCATCTCCAGACTTCCCTACGACAACCCTCCTCACAGCTCTCCCTGCCCAAACCCTCCACAATAGCCTCAAAGTAATAAACAACAGCCACTGACATTTATCGAGCGCTTTGTATGTGCTAGGCACTAGGATAAACATGCACTACCTAATTTAATCTTCACAACTTTCTTGTTTACATTTTTAAAAATATATTTTTATTAATTTCAGAGAGGAAGGGAGAGGGGCGGGGAGAGAGAGAGAGAAACATCAGTGATGAGAGAGAATCATTGGCTGCCTTCTGCACATCCGCTACTGGGGATTGAGCCTGCAACCCGGGTATGTGCCCTTGATCGGAATTGAACCCGGGATCCTTCAGTCCGCAGGGACGGCGCTCTATCCACTGAGCCAAACCAACTAGGGCTCTT